GGCGAAACAGTATACTCTGTTATGTCCATGGTACTGCTCATGTCTATAGGCGACGGTTACCACTTTCCATCAGGTGGGCCGAAGCTTGTTTGCCATTCTAAGTAGTATAAAAAAAAAACATGTAACTTCTTCCTTTAATTATTTGAACCAGATCTTTCGTTGAACAATGAGCCAATAGCTATAAAAATGCTAAAACTAAGAAAAATGCTGCTGCATGCGAGAAAAACCTTACGCTTAATATTGTTGTTCTTTTCAACCAAGTACTTAATCTTTTATCCATCTATCCGTGCGAAGCTGGAGCGTGTCGCTAGTATAAGATAAAATTACTTTTATTCCATTTCTTATACAAAATATACACCTAATAATTATTATTACTGATACTGCAATTCGTAATTTTAAATTATACTTGTGATTAAAAACTGAACTGCAAAACTAAATTTGTTTTTAGAAGTTTCTTAACAATTTTTCAAAAACTATGTTTGTTTATAATATCGCTTTACTTTTTCTGTAATGTTTACATATACCCATAATTATTTCTAATTTTTCGCTTCCTAAAATGCTACGCAGTATAAAAGTAAATAATAAAATTTATAAATGAAACCTCATAACATCTTGGACAACACAAATAATTCACGTTTGACAACACTTTAAGCTGAAGTCTATACAAACGAAGTTGTTGATGTATTGAATTGTTTTTGTACTGAGTCATTAACGACAGGCTAGCTGCGGGCTTATTATAAATAAAATATTAATTTGCATAATAATATGAAATTGGAAATCGCTCAATATGAAAATTGTATCCACTGATACTTATTGTAGTTTTATCGTGTAATCTTTTAGAGTATTTTTAAAACATCGTTATAATATTAATTTAAAATTATTGAATGATGGCAAAGCATCACATTGATGCTGAAACAGTAATAAAGAAATTAATTTCCTCGTCTCGGCTTTCAGAAGTAATTATTTGAAAACAGATTGCGCCTGTCACTCGGTAAGATTTTGTGTACTTACAGACTTGGATACTGTTTCAATTTACCAAACAAATCATTTGTTAATCCTGATGACATTAGTTCCATAGAATAAACAATTTTATTGCAATTTTTTTTTAATGTTATGGATTGTAGGAATCATCTTTTTTATGTTAATATTGTTAACGAAACGAACGTATTATAAATAAAAATAAAAAAGTAGACAAAATTAATTTTATGACTTTTATATCAAACCTTACCAAGTATCTATGAAATATAAAATATAAAAAACTATCGGCACATCCTTATTCGATATCTAAATTCCACGGGAACGTAAATGCGACCATTAATATGTATTTACTTAAAGATATTTTACTTATCGATATTTTATTTGTAGCTATTTTATTTATAAGTGTTACTTTATTATTTAAACAAAGCTCTAGATCAAACTTTAATTTATGTGAAAGAGTTTAGTATCTCCTTCAATGACCAGGTGTGTTAATAACTTAATAGTTGTAACTAAATAGTTACAACTTTTGCTTTTATAAAAAGTCCCGTCATGACGTAAAGCGTTATTAATTACTAATATCGTGATCAGGACCACTCGTATAGTATTATACCGGGTCGGTCTCAGTTTAAACTTATTCTCGGTTGCGTACGTGCGATAGCTTCATAATACTATTAGTTTGCAATTTGTCATACAGAAATGGCACCGTCTTAAAATATATACGTAATCGCTTCTTGTTACATTCATTAATACAGTATGATAGAAAACACGCAAGTATAGTTAAATTATTTTACTCACATAATAAACTTAAAACTATAATAACCAAATGTCAAGATAGCTGAAGTTGTTTTCATTATGACTAGTCCTAATGTTTCAAAGCGGCATCTTTAATTTATTTTTTATTTAATCCAGACACAACACATTGCTCCACGGATTCACTTAATGACGTATAATAAGTTTCGATCTGAATTAAGCAAAAGATAAAAGTCGTATGTTATATTGATGTGATTATTAGAATTATAACTTTTGGTTTATATGTAATAAAAATAAATTGATAAAGAATCGCCTTCTGGTTACAAGCACGTCGCCTTGGAAAATCTTTCATGAAGTTTTCAAGTTTCATTTCACTATAGGGTGTACGCAGCTGATGTAAACCTCAACATTGTTAGTATAACAAAATTAATTAGATATGGCACATAATGTATTATAAGGTATTTAAGATCATCTTTTTTAGAGACAACAATGTAATTATCAGAATTTTGAATAATTAGGAAAATAAATAACTTTTCGTGTTTTTAGGGCGCGGTTTAATTTTCTATTTAATTTCTCTTTAGAATTACAAAACAAGATTATATGATATGCAGTTATTATTTAATTAGTGATTGAAACGCAGTTAGCATACACATACATGAGTAAGATTAAAACGTTATTAAATTTTATCTTTTGCACTCGGTATCGAATAATATGACAAAGATTTATATTTATTTTTATTTGCTGTTGATCATTTAAGGGGCCTTAGTAGCGTAAAATAAGTGTGACAGTTTAATTATATGAACCGTCCTTATAAATTCTATCAAAATTTGGAAAAATGGACATCTAGCATACACAATTTAGATAAATGTGAAAACGAGTTCGTTTGTGTGTTCCTTTTTTTAATAAGCATGACTTGCGGCTACACTATCCTAAGCCAACACGGAAAATATAGTCCATGAATGCAATCAACCGAAAAGAGAATATTCTCTCAACGGTTGGCCATACTGTGCCGGTTCACTAAGTATACTTTTGCACTAGGCTTGAAGGAGTTGAGGTTATAGGATGATGGGAATACTAGTTACTTGGCGCCTAAATAGTTCAACCAATTATCATGAAATTCAGTATTACATACACTACTTCAGATGAAGAAGAAGATAAACTACTTTTTATCCCGGCCAATTATCATATCTCACGTGGATGAAGTCGTACCTTTTATTTATATATATGCCCAAGATGGCGAAATCTCTTTTATAGCGCTTGATATGGGTATCGAATAAAAGATCTTGACAAACAATAAACGATAAATTATGTGAAGTCGTTGTTAATCAAATATGGCGGAGATCTTGATATATCAGATTACCTTCCTCTTTAAAAGTTTGCTGTCGAAAATAGATGATTTAAGATACTCGTATTCCAGAGACGGCTAAATTAATAAAATACCTAAGTAAAAAGTTTAACATGAGCTCTTATCAAGATATAAAAATTCATAAGGACTACCTTGTATTATGTTGTATGTCTGTGTATATTTTTATATTTAATTAATAATTGAATTACGTATAATAAAATAACTATTTTTCTACTTCTCTGCGTGATTTCTGTGGTAATCAAATTACAATTTAGCTAATTATGTTTTCTTAATAATACCACATAACTGAGATACAATAATTGACCAGAATAAGAAGTGATATATGTTCTTTTTCACTACAATTACTACATTGTTTATGCCAATTTTCATGACAATCGTTTTAAAAAATAATCCAGTTCTTTCTTTTTATTCATTTTTAACATACGTACATACATATCTGTCACACCTGTCTCCCATTGGAGTAGACAGAAACAATTGAACGCCAAATGCTTTGTTTCAAAAAGACTTCCTACGCTTCCTCCACATTCATAAATCTTTTCAATTATATCATATTTAAAAGTTATATTCCGTTGTTTTCAGTATAAAGGATATTATAGCTCATGGTTCAAAACTATTTATACTTTTGCTGCTACTTAAGTACCTCTATAATACTATGAATATACTTATCACACATTCATCATTCCTTATTACGAGATAGTAATTCATTTGATGGCTTTGAGTAATACTCGTTGAGTTTTATCAACCACAAACAAGATGTTGAGACTTCAGATTTTATATCTGCAGTATTTGTTATCATTTGAAGTACGGTCAGAAAATCTTTTAGTACCTATTTAACTATATAATTTTGTGGCTTCCACTTGCATATTCCATCAAGTTTGTTGCGTTTTATAAATTAGAAATCAAAAAATTTTATTGTAGATTGAAAAATGATACTAGTGTTTGTATACTAATTATAATTATACAGGTGGCCCATATGTTCTTTAAAAGGTAAAATTTAAATAAAACGAAAACGTCTCGCGAGAGCGGTGCAGGGATAGCGGGGGCAATAAATTCGGTTTCTGGGAATTCTGTAGCGATGGAGCGTTGTAGCCATCACTCGATTACCTACTCTCGGTATTCGAGAGAGCAGAGGCCGCCAGCGCCGCCTCCCAGCTCGATTCCATGATTGTATACTCTAGATTAGCGAATGAGTTGTCTCTGCTTGTTAATTAGACTGTACTGTCTGTAAGGTTATTTTAAGAGTGTCCATGTTTTTGTGTATTACAATAATTAATACGAGTTATATGTTTACCTCCAGTAAAAGTATATTCCCACAATAAAAAAACGTTTTCTTTGGCCCGTAACCCCAAGAATCTCACTAAAGTGGCAGCCCAACGCGAGGCCGAACATTTAATAATTAAAAGTGGTGCAAGTTGTGAACAAAAGACTGTGAAAACCATTTGTTTGTTGCCGAGTGTTAGTGTACAGCCTAATCCATAATCATTAGTGCTAGAACATTCGACAAATGGACAGTCCTGGTTCAAAACTTTAATATTTTTACAAAAAATTTTGAGGTAAAGACATTCCATATAATAGTTACGTCGTATTTTATGGACATTTTTAACAGTATCAAGTATTAACAGTGTATCGAAGTAATTGTTGCATCAAATCAAAAAAGAAATTCAATATTGTAGTGTGTATAATTTTGTCATATTTCAATTTCCGTTTTTTATTCGAAATTCTTCTTGTCATACTGCTATAGACAATATAGAGTGAAGGAACGGACAATTTTGGATTGAATGTTGACAGTACAATATTGCCAACATTACGTCACAAATAGTGATGTACATGTGTCGATAAATGTAGTGAAGTACGAGTCGCTATCGAAAATCGATTTGATGACAAATTATTTGTTGTGAACTTTAAAATGGTTCTTACACGTTCTAGAGCTAATAGTTTAGTGAGTGAGGACAGTTCACGGGTTTTGACTACAACTGTCAGTTCGGTGACATCGGCTAACCCGGCTGCGCCTGTCGCGAGTACGCAGTGCACGCGATCGCCTGTCATCTCAGGCACAGCTGATGACACACTTCAACACAGCGTGTTTCAGCCTGGCTCCGGCGAAATTGGTGGGGTGCATACTATGTCAAGATTGCCCCCGCCGGTCACTACAGTTGCACCTGCTGAACCTGGCGTGCATAGCGTGCCGCCGCCTCAGATTCATCACATCGTGTCTACAACAACGCCTGTTGCCACAATGCAGGCCACAGCTACTACGTGTCCGCAAGTGCCTATTCAGTTACCATATGCTATGTCTCCTGGTTGGCATGTGCATCCTGCACATCGAGTCCCGCCGATCCCACTGCTCCGACCACTTCAGCCGCATTTTATGGCATGCCTGCATGGTCTACCCAGACGCACACGAATGTTTCGCCATCTATGTATGCTCCGCCATATATACATCATGCTCCCATACACTTCATTCCACCCGATGGATACTTACCTTCGCCGACGATGCCTGCACCTGTAAATAATATGAATAGTCATCAATCTTACCTCGATGGTGCATCGAACACTACTGCTTCTGCTGCACCTACGCCTTTGGTAATCACTGATGGTCAGTTAGCTCAGATTGTGAGTGCGCTTAGAACGCAACCTGCTTCTGTTGGAGGTAATTTTGCCAGGTGTACTGCACGTTTTGATGGAACGGGAGATATACAAGCTTTTGTGGATGCTATTCTTATATATAAAGAATGTGTTAGTATCTCAGATGAAATAGCGCTTCGTGGTATACCAATGCTTTTAACAGGTTTCGCAGCAACCTGGTGGCAAGGGATCAAGCACTCTGTGACGACCTGGAATGAAGCGATACAACTACTTCAAGGTACCTATGGTGTTCACTTACCGCCACATAAGGTGTATAGACGCCTGTTCGAACGAGAACAAGGAGACGAAGCTACTGATATTTTTGTAACTAAAGCGAGAGCGCTGATTAGTCAGCTGCCGCCAAATACGCTTTCAGAAGAAACTCAGCTGGACATGGTTTATGGTCTACTTAGTTGTCATATACGAGAGAAAGTACCTCGAACATCGTTTTCATCATTTGCCGAACTGCTTCAGAAAGCACGCATTGTTGAAGAACTGTATGCAGAAGGCCAGCAAACGCCTGTCACAGCGACGATGTCAACACCCAGTAAATTAACCTTCTCGACACCCGCTGCTGCATCTAAGGGTCCCGTTATGAAGAAAACCAGACCGAGATGCGGGTATTGTAAACAATTTGGTCATAAAACAGAAGGATGTCCGAAAGGACAGAGACAAAGAGGTAAGCAAGAGGGAAACACTAAGGAATATCCTCCACCTCCAACAATTACATGTTATGGCTGTGGTGCGCCGGGAGTGATCCGTTCAAATTGCCCCACGTGCAAGAAGCGGCCGACCACACCAGTAACGGCATCAACATCCTCCACTGCTTTCCAATCGGTTGCTGCCTTGGGAAATAAGGATATAACCCACGAGCACGCCCGAAACTTGATGTTGAGATATATGGTGAACGTGGTACCGCTTTAATTGATACCGGTGCAAAACAATCTATTGCTAGTAAAAGTTTATATACATTTTTAAGAACTCGAAATCATGTGTTTAGTTTTGTAAATACTACTGTTAAATTAGCCGATGGCTCTAGTAAATTAATGAATGTTGCAACCACTAAGGTTGATGTAAAGGTTCAAGGTATAATTATACCAACTGTGTTTATAGTATTACCCGATGCTACAGACTCCTTATTAGGAATGAACTTTATACAGGAAGCTGGTATGATACTGAATTTTGAAAGGCACTTGTATACTCTTAAATCTGATTCTAGGCACTTCAACCTTAGGTATGAGGCGATTGATCCAGTGGGTGAGATCGCAACAGCTTCAGCCATCGTTCTTCGTGACGAGGAAGGTGCGTTCCTCTCAGCTTCGGAACGGGAGTCATTTAACACTCTCCTGCATGACAATCGGGACATCTTCGAGCCAGGGGGAGCCCCTACAACGTTCGCAGTCCACAGGATTGATACAGGTGAGCATGCTCCTGTAGCTGTACCGCCTTATCGTGTCTCGCCATGGAAGAAAGAAATTATGAGGAAGGAGATAGAACGTATGTTAGAAGAGGAATTCTTCTATAGAAGCAGAGTCTGAATGGGGATCTCCGGTAGTGCTGATTCCAAAGAAGTCGCCTGGTGAGTGGCGGTTTGCTATAGACTATAGAAACGTAAACGCCATCACAAAAACAGATAAGTATCCATTGCCCGTCATTGATGACATCCTGTTTTCTACCAAGGCTGGTGCAGTCATGTCTACGATCGATTTAAAGTCAGGATACTGGCAGATCGAGGTCCACCCCGATGACAGAGACAAGACGTCTTTTGTCACGCCTTTCGGTGTGTTCCGTTTCCGCCGCATGCCGTTTTTACGTAATGCGCCGGCAACCTTCCACAGGATGATGGATCGTTTCAAGGCCGGACTAAAGGAGGTAACTATCGTTGTATATCTTGATGATCTCCTTGTGATCTCCTCTGATCTGCAGTCGCACCTGCAGGACCTGCAACAGGTGATCGATCGACTGCGTGTTTTTAACTTCGAGCCAATCGAGGGAAATGTGTATTTGGTCGTGAGAAGGTAAAGTATTTAGGTCACCTTATCTCCGCGAAAGGGATAGAGCCGGATCCATCTCAAGGTGGATGCTATCGTAAATCGGGAACCGCCGGTGAATCTGAAGGAACTGAAAACCTTCTTGCAAACCTGTTCTTGGTTCCGAAAATTTATTCCGGAGTTCTCAAAGGTGAGTGAACCACTTACAATGTTAACACGAAAAAAACAATCTTGGCTGTGGGAGGAACCGCAGAAGAGGGCTTTTGAAGAACTAAAGTCTCGCCTAGCTTCTGCCCCGATTCTCCGCCAGCCCGCTTTCGACGAGCCGTTCATTTTGAGGACTGATTCTAAAAGTGCGTATGCCATAGGGGCCGTACTGATGCAGGGACCTGACCCCAAATCCGAACGACCTATTGAGTACGCCAGCCGGTTACTCACCAGTGCTGAGCGTAATTATACCACTACGGAGTAGGAAGCTTTGGCCGTAGTATGGGCGTTAGAAAAGTTCCGAGGTTATTTGGAGGGAGCCCAGGTACGTATCGGCACTGATCATCAACCACTGAAGTGGTTGTTCTCTCTGAAAACCCCCAGTGGACGTCTAGCTCGTTGGAAACTGAAGATACAAGGTTTCAATCTAGATGTTGAATATACTCCCGGCAGGATTAACGTGGTTGCTGATACTCTTAGTCGTCCTGCTGAGTCAACGAATTCTACGTGCGATGTATGTCCTGTTGTTTTAGACTTACCACATCGAGATCCAAAGACGCTCCGTGATGCACAGCTGGCTGATCCTGACTGTAAGAAGATCATCCTGGCTTTCGAGGATGCTGATCCTACGCGCGCGACTCTCTGGACTAATAAAGGGTACTATATGACGCAAGGTGTCTTATACCGAGCTGACGAAGGTGAGAGTGAGGAACCTTTGCTTGTCGTTCCTGTTACCATGCATGATGAGGTGATGAAGGAACTCCACGATGCGCCGACAGCTGGACATCCTGGAATCGAGCGCACGTACCTGAAACTGAAAGAAAGGTATTATTTCCCTAATATGAAACAACTAGTTACGCAATATGTCAAGGCTTGTGAGCTATGCCAGAAGTATAAGCCTACCAACTTGAAACGCGCAGGGTTTTTACAAACCCCAACACCTCAGCAGCGTTTCGAAGTTTTGTCCATGGACCTGTTCGGACCCATATATATTTAAGATTACCGGAAGGACCTAAAGGTGAGCGCTGGATATTTTTAATTGAGGACACAGCAAGTAGATGGGTGGAGATTTTTCCTCTCATAGATGCTACTGCTGAATCATGCAGCAAGGTCTTGGTCGAAGAAGTGTTCCTACGTTACGGTTTGCCCCGTAGAGTTATCTCCGATAACGGCGTCAGTTTGTCTCGAATGTGATGCAAAAGGTAATGCTTGCTTTTGATGTCTATCAGAACTTAACGCCCTTATATCACCCTGAAGCAAACCCGGCAGAACGCAAGAACCGAAGATGAAATTGATGCTCTCTATTCTTCTTAGTGCTGATAGCGATCATCGGGACTGGCCAAGTAAGTTACCCTTGATAAGATTTGCCCTCAATAACGCTCCAAACCAAGGTACTGGTAAATCCGCTGCTTACTTGACGTTCGCTCGAGAGATGCTCTTTCCTATACATCTTGCCGACGATATCCGTCAAGTTGTAAGTTCTAATAATTATGTAGAGCAGATTACACCCTACTTACGTCATTTCGCTGAGAATTTAGAGAAGGTAACTAGAAGAATCCGGAATGAGTAAGAGCGACGAAAACGATATGCTGATAAAGGTCGCCGTCCTGCTCCTGAACTTGCTGTTGGTGATAAGTGCTGGTCGAAGCACATATCCCGAGCAACGCCTCTAAGGGTATTAGCCATAAGTTTGCGGCTAGACGAGAAGGACCCTTCGTTGTTAGACAGAAGGTGAGTCCCACCACTTTCGAGGTTGTAGGAAAGGATAGGCAATGAAAGGCAAGTATCATACTAGCGCCTTAACTCCTTATCATGGTTCGGATGCTACGTTGAGGCCCTTGAAGAAAAGAGGCCACTCGCGGTTGCCAAGCCACCTCCGGGACGTACCGGTGACTTGGAGGGGATTGTAGCCATCACTCGATTACCTACTCTCGGTATTCGAGAGAGCAGAGGCCGCCAGCGCCGCCTCCCAGCTCGATTCCATGATTGTATACTCTAGATTAGCGAATGAGTTGTCTCTGCTTGTTAATTAGACTGTACTGTCTGTAAGGTTATTTTAAGAGTGTCCATGTTTTTGTGTATTACAATAATTAATATATATATATATTATATATATATATATATTATATATAAAAAATATATCTTTGGCCCGTAACCCCAAGAATCTCACTAAAGCGTTTCCCCGAAGCGGACCGTGCGTTTTGTGTACGCGAGTTTTATCAAAACAACAGTTCGGCAACCGTTGCGCGGCGTATCTTTCAAGATCACAAAGGTTAACATAACTTTGACGACACTCCAACTCTTCAAACGATTAAGAACTAGGTGGCTAAGTTCGAGAAGACCGGTTCGACGTTAGATAAACCACGGTCGGGTCGCCCAAGGAACGTGCGGAACAAAACATCGACACAGTGGAACAATCTATTCGTGAGAAACCTACACAGTCAACTCATAAGCGTTCCAATGCATTAAACGTACCCAGGACATCGTTACAACGGATTTTGAAGAAAGATTTACTTAACCCTTATAAAATTCAATTAGTGAAATAATTAAAATAAACTGACGCTATTATGCGAATGAAATGAATGAATCGGTTTACTTCGTTCAGTAACATAATGTTCTCTAACGATGCTCACTTTCATCTTAACGGGCATGCCACTATTGGAGCCCCATAAATCCAAAACTTAAGCATCTGAAGCCCTTATATAGTTCTAAAGTGACAGTTTGGGCCGCTATGTCAGTCCATGGCATCGTAAGGCCTTACTTCTTTGAGGACGCAGAGGGCGCGCGGTTACTGTTACTTCAGAGCAATATGTGACTATGATCGAGAAGTTTTTCACATCAGAATTGCAAAACTTTCCAGGCTTTAATGGCCGGACGTGGTTTCAACAGGATGGAGCTACTTCCCACACCTCTAACACTGCTATGCCCGTTATCCGTCAAATTTTCCCTAGCAAACTAAGAGAGGAGACATTTCCTGGCCACCACGTAGTCTGGAACTGACTCCGATGGTTTTTTTTGTGGGGCTATCTTAAGGCTAAAGTTTATGACACTAACCCGTGGTTGATGTCCTAAAAGAAAACATCCGCAGAGAAATGGCAAGTATTTCAGCAGTGACGTACCGCGCAGTCATCGACAATTTTAGAAGTCGTCTGCAAGAGTGTCGTGATCGTAACGGATTACATTTAGAAGATGTTATTTTCAAAAAAATATTTCCCGTTTTTTAATTTAAGCTTCATTTGTAAATAAAAATATAATGCATAATGTAATTGGTTTTATTTTAATTTTTTTTTCATATCAAAGCCTTATAAGCCACCTTGTATAACATTGTAATTACACACATTCATTGTAATCAAGAATAAGTAAGTATCTAGATTTCAATAAAATTATTTGTACTAGGCGGTATATTATGTAATCTTAGAATTTCTCCCTTGCACGAATTGCATTGAAACTGGTATTGCAGGCGTTCATAAGTTACGGTAATCGTGTACTATCAGGCGAGCCACATGCTTGTTTGCTACCTCAATAGTATAAAAACAAAGATACAGCCAGAAATTAAAGATTTCCACTTGTGTCTATCCTGATATACCTCTAAATTCATGTCTCTTCAAATTTTCTTTTTAATATACATAAATGGTCATATAGAAATAAATAACAGAATGGCTCCTTATCCGTGGTGACAAGTAGTCAAGCTTAACTTGACTAGCCTGCTCTTTTCTATGGCTTCATTATTCTTATCTTGTTTATTTTTCTGTCACTTACTTTGTTTCGGAGGGACGTCAATTTAATTAGTCATTTTCTCAAAGAAGTAAAATAGACATATTTTTTTTTATTAATTAAAGTAGTAATTGAAAATTAATTAAATAGCCAAAATAGTACTTTTCTCTAGTAATACAGTAATGATTTTCTGTAAATGCTTTAGCAATTTTAAAAAACACATACTTATATAACAATATTATTGAGTTTAAAAATAAAAATTACATATCTAAATCAAATAAGTCAAAAAAGTGATTGTAAAAAATCGGCATCAGTTGGGGTTTTTACCTCTATTTTGTTCACTTGTTTAAATAAAATTCGTTTAAAAATTATTTAACTAATCAAATCTCAATTCAACAATAGGTACAATTCCTTTGATATGAAGAGGGTTAAACTTCAGCCATTTATAAAACTTCTAAAATATAAAAGTATTGTGATTCATATCCTGTTGAATATGCAAGAATATTCATGACTAGCTCGTTAGCGAGCGGGTCGAGCGTATTTATGTAAAATATCGTATTAAATAGGTAGCTCTGTGTTTTATATCGGATTGTGTTATTGTTCTAAGACACTGTTGTGAACTGTCAAAGGTATAGTCCTAGATAAACATTTCCAAATAAAAAAGTAAATGAGTGAAAGTGAAAATTTGATCTTATTTTCTTCATTACTACATCCATGCAAAATCGGGACGAACAGCTAGTTATCATATTTAAGATAACCTAAAAGTTAATAAAATTAATGATAATGCCTGAGTAAATAAATAAATAAACTCTTGATCCTTACATTCAGGTAGTTACAAATACGTTTCTTAATTACCCAAACATTCAATTGCCAATCATATTAAGAAAAAAA